GTCTGGGAGCTGCAGACTTAATTATGGGTAGCACCATTTGGACAGTTTGCCTGAGAAATACTATAGATATCTACCAAAGCAGTGTGAAGAAGTTCTGTCATCATTAGGGACTGTTTTTTTGAATGGACAGTAGTCGCATTAGGCTGTTTCTCAGTGGAAATATTTATACTGGCTATGTTCCTTGAAAGACTAGCTGACTGTAATAAAAAATGTTATTGGGGTGCTGGAGGGATGAGGCTTCCCAGTTCTGGAGTGAATTTCACTCCTGCCAAGTCACTATGGACATGAACCCAGGATCAGCAAATTGTGCACAGTGGCCAAGGCCGCCTACTACTGCTTCTGTCCCCACTGGCTCTACCAGTGTGCTTGCTGTTGCATGGGGGCTCTCCACAGGATGCTGCAGCTTGCACCTGAGCAGAACCTCTCCTGCTTGACCAGCCTTGAATGCATTCTTAGACTCTTTTAATGTACCCTTAGCCATTTAAGAAAGTCTCATTTTAGTCTCTTCTTTACTGTGAGCTTTCTGCACATATGTATTAAATTATTTCATGGCATTTCGTCACCCATAAAACCCACTTCTTCCGTCACCAGTCATGTACTGCGCAATGGGTACACTTTACAATACAGTGTTAATATTATTCCATTTTGGATTTTTTATGGCATGTATCACAATATTGATGCAGAAATGAAGTAGTTGCTGCTTCCAGTTTCCATATAGCTCTATGTGCATTGATAGCGGTCCCTCCCACTGTAAACAGACATGGAGATGATCGCCCTGTTAAAGCTCAAGCCAAGTTACTGCTGATCCTAGTAAAGAAACTGAAATCCCTCCAGAAGCTGGCACAAAATATATGCAGACCTAGAAGGCTTATTTTGAGCATAATGGAAACCCCTATCTATCCCTCTGTTTGATTTCATGCCTTCAGTTGAGTTTAGCTGTCAGAGGGTTACAGTTGTGTAGCAAAACCTGCAGCTCTGAGCAGGTGGCAGCTACTCCTTCCCATTTCATCCTGCCGTTACCATGATAAGACAGAATGATGGTAGCTCCTAGTTCCTGTAAAACCAGGCAGCTGCTTCACGGGCAGCATCCGCATGGCCCACAGCACTTCTAAACTAATGAGCAGTTTCAACATCTGTTTGTTTTCTAATTTATCTGTTTAAAATTTTAATTTCTTTGGGGTGGTAAAATTCAGAAACTTACATAATTCTTCTATAATTCACCAAGGCAAGGTACTGCTGAACACACACTTGTGCTGATTGTTGTCAAAATTTGGGGGACTGAAAGCAAATGTGTCATTTAGCAGTTTATTTTATTTAGCTTTTTTCTAGCTCATGATATTTTTTCTGCAGCCATCTGCATATGACCTGTAGCTTCTTTCTCTTTTATACATGCTTTAAAAATGAGGCATGCCAATTCTGGGTTGTCATCTGCTGTCACCAGGGCTTCTACTGCAACCCCTGTAGCTCCTCTCCTGCCTGAAGAAGCCTTGCCCTCAAGTGCACAAGCTGTACAAGGGGCTAACCCAGCAGGGAACAGCTTTTTTAGATGTGCTGAAAACATCATAACTTATCTCCAGTTTGTTTGTCCCCTATGAGGGATGCAGCGGTGGATGGGTGCTATAACGACGTATGGTGTTGCCAGGAGCCACTCACCAGCTCGCAGCAGTGCTGGCGCTGCCTGTGTGTTCCAGATGTCACATGTGATCTAACTGCTGCACAATTGGCCTGGTTTTGCTTGGATCGAATGAAGCAATTAGATGTCAGCATACATGCGTGTGTTGCAAATGCATGGCCATCTGCTCAGGTGCAACAGTAGCTGGCTTGGTGTCTGCTGGTGATTCTGAGCAAGCTGCCATTATCGGGTGAATAAAGCAGGTTGGGCTTCTTTACCAAAATGGCAATTGACAAGCCCCCCAAATGCTGGCATTTTATTTTTCCTGCAAAGTAGGCCTAGCAAGTGTAAATACAGCCCCACAGCCTGCATCCAGAGTGAACTGTTTTTCCTGTAACAGGCTGAAAAGGGCTCTGTTCCTTACATGATCCAGGAAGGAAAAACTGATCATTTTGTCTTCAGTCATAACGTATAGGGACAGGTCACACAGCAGCTTTTTGGCTTGCAACCTCACTTAGAGCATGCTTCTGCACAGCAATAAATATTAAATTGAAGTATATGAAAGCTTACATTGCACAGTGCATGATTTTCTTTAAAATCAGCCCTGGACTCAAGCCTGCCCTGTAGCAGTGAAAATCCCAGATGAGGAACATCTTGTGTGTGTCCGCCACACAGCCATCAACTCGTGTTCCACCCAAAACATGGCTGAGATTGCTCACCTGCTCGTTTCTATCCAAGAAAACTGCAGCACCCTCATTTTCTTGTGCAACAGTTGGCACTTTCAGGACCCCCAGGCTGGGCATGCCTTGCCTCAAGAAGCTGATACCTGATCTTTTATGGAGTTCCCTGTGGCTTCTGAACAGTGAAAGACAGTAGTCCAGGTAAAAATATAACCAAAACTGTGCATAAAAATGCCACTCTGTAATTTGAGACCAAGAAGCAATTTTTAAGCTGATGTAAGCTGATTCAGGTGAATTAGTTGCAGTGGAACAGTCTTTTTGCAACAGCAGCATCTCAGAGTTAAAACATGATAATATTACATAGCAATGATGAAGAAACCAGCATCTTTGAAGTGTTAAGATGTTAATATGAAAAGTAAGTGCTGCTCTTTAGCACTCCGCTTTAACATATTTAATATGTTGGTTTAATTGATTTGCTAACTATAGAACGTCACTGAGTAGCTGCATCTGTTGCACTCTGAAACTAATAGGAGAGATTCTTCTGTGGCTGAAGAAGACTGGATGTAATCGGGAGTGAGCCACCAGCTTTGCCCTCCTGAAGCCTCTGGGAATATCTCAAAACATGGGATGGAGGGCAGTGCCTGCTCCCTCCTCACACCTCTGGGAAGATACCTGCCTTGATGGCTGCTGCAGCCTGCACAAGGTAAGGGCTTTGCACCCTGCTGACTTGGCAGGGTGGGAGGTGGGGGTCTCTGGCTGCTGGCCCAGGGCTTGCTGAGAGATCTGCGTGTTGTCCAGACCCAAGTGTTTCACCCAAGGTTCGGCAGATGCTCCCAGCACAGAGCTGCAGCGTCCACCCATCCTCCCCGAGCAGTTTCCAAACAGGTCTCTGCAAAGGGGAAGTATTTGTTTGCTTCTGCCCTTGACTCAGCATATATTTTGCAGTACCTTCCTCCCACAAAAACTGCCTCCGTGTCCTCGTCAGCCAAACAAATCGCTCCTCTGCCTTGACTCATTAATGATTGAATCATATGCAAACTAGGTTAGACGGCAATACTGTGCTGTGCTCCAGGGACCCCGGCCTTGTTCTCACCAAGGCATGTCTGAGGAGTGCTGATGGAGAGCCAGCGCCCAGCCCTGGGGATGGTAAGGTGTCTTTGTGCGTGGGAGCAGGCTCTTGAACAGCAGCTTCTCAGGAAGAATCTGCTGTTCCTCTAGGAGGACCATTTTGAATGAACCCTTTAATTGTTTTACCCTGACCACTTTCTTTCAAATTGATTCATCAGTCTTTTTCCAACAACTACCTAAGTCAATGTACCTGTCAATACAGTAATTTTACATTATTTGTATTTAAAGTGCTAATGTTAGAGCAGTTTTAGTTTTCTAGAACTAAAATCTCGCTAAAATAATGAGTTTCCTCTCAAGAGCCTAAGCAGCCAGGGTTAGGCTATGTGCTGCTTGTGAGCTTATCCAACCAGAGTGAGCCTGCACAGCTATATCCTTTTTGTCTCCTCTGGTACATGGTGTAAGTGTAGATATTTGGTGGATGTAACTTTATAATGCTGTACTTTATTCTGTCTTATGGTCTACCTTTAAAATAAAATATAGTACTTTGAGAGCAGAGACATGTTAACAAATTATAGACATCAGAACAACTTTGAAAATACTTAATAACATGATTTGTGGAGACTGTCTTTGGTAGATTTTGTGGCAGTCATGTTGCTGCCCTGTCAGAGCTTAGACTTAGCTTGATTTCAGTTTTAATCCATACCCCATTTTTCTAACGTTTTCTTTTCCACTGCTTTCTAATCGTTTTGCTAATATTTTCACCAAAGGCTGATGCTAAAAGCTTGCTTTATTTTCCAGTTTCCCTGCAGGTGGGTGCCAGTGTCTTTGCCTGAGGAGGCAGAAGAGGGAGCATTTTAGATCTTTTTCTATTTCTTTCCCTGTAGCATGAAAGCATTTTTTTAACCAACCTTTAGAAAGAAAGCAAAACTTGTCCTCAGGCAAACTCACACTTCGTGCAGCTTCCTAGAAAGCTTTGCTCCTTGAAGAATACTGATTGCACTACTCACTTCCAAGCTGGAAGGAGGAGCTCTTTGTCTGAAGCCAAAAAGAAAACAAAATAGTAGCGCAGGAGGGGTGGCCGTGGTGCTGGCAGCCTTGCCGGCAGCTTTCCCACCTGAAAACAGCCATGCATTTGCCAGCCCGGCGCTCAGCATTGTCCCTGCAGGGAACAGTTTCTCTTCCTCTGGCTGCTATGTGGGTTGGCTTGGGGCACTCCACCATACAAAGGCTGAGGGCTTAGCAGAAGGGGATGAGCTGTGTGATTCAAGAAATCATGCATGGTGCTCTCATTGCATAGGAGGCAATAACATAAATGGCTTAAAGTTTGTGAATTTGGCTTCAAAGACATTTTATTCTGAGCTTGGCTGTGCTGTCCTCTTGACTACAGTTGCTTTCAAATCAACAAGGATTCAGTCATAACTGAACCTTCCCTTCCTGAAAGGCATTTTGTAGAAAACAGAAGAGACTTGTAAAACCCCAGGAACAGAAATGTCCTGTGTCTGCAGCAATGGCTTGGAAGTGGACTGCTGTGACGCACAGGGTACGCGCTTCATCCTCAGTGCTTTCTGTGCAATTCTGGTTTCTGCGCAATTGCTGGTGCTGTATACGAGCAAAGCTGCACAAAGTGCTTGATGAATGCTTCGATAATTTGCTAAACACATTCTCTCCTGACTTCCTAATGAATTATGCGTAATGCTGTTAAGAGTGTGGCTTTTTTGCTGCTTATGATTTCATCCTTTATCAGTCTTGAAAGTGGACTTCTGCTTTAGTGATAAGTGTTAGTGATAGTGATAAGGGAAGACTACAGGACCAGAGTTGAGTAACAGAGAGGCAGATGACTTCCAGCAAGGGCTGTGACAGGGCTCATTTGCTTATAGTCACAAAGTGACTTAATGACTCAGAACAGAAACCAGGAGGTCTGGTCCGTACTTTGTGGCAAGTGGTGAGAGGCAAGTTTCACTTTCCCAGCTTCTGCTACTGCTGAGGATTTGGCCAAGTGGTAGTTGGTATGTTGTAGCAGATGCCTTCATGTGATGCTTTTACTTCAAACTCCCCACACAGGGTTTTGTTTGGGCAAGTTTTCATCTTACTTTGTAACTCTGGTCAGTTGCTGAAAATACAAATCTTGTGTGCAAAACAGATATTCATCAAGTTCAAGTATCTACTTACCATATAAGCTGCAAGGAAACAGCATACTATCTTCACCTGTTACAGCAACAATATAAAAATAACTATGCAATGATCTCTTACTAATTTCTGGTGGTTGTTTTGTTTTTTCTCTTTTAACTTTCCAGGCTATGAATGAGACAAGTGACTGTTTGATGATGAACAGAGTCCTAGAAAAGTATTATCTTTCTACCATGTACAGCCTTGAATTCATTTTAGGCTTCATTGGAAACACCGTTGTTGTGTTTGGCTATATTTTCTGCCTGAAAAACTGGAAAAGTGGCAACATCTACCTATTCAATTTATCATTGTCAGATTTATTATTTCTGTGTACTCTCCCAATTCTTGTGAACAGCTACTCCAGAGATCAGTGGATAAAGGACCACATCTTGTGCCACAGCAACCGATTCCTGTTACATGCAAACCTGTACGGCAGCATCCTTTTCCTCACTCTTATCAGTATTGACCGATACATGCTGATAAAACACCCTTTCAGAGAACATCCTCTACAGAAGAGGAAAATGGCCCTTATTGTGTCCGCTGCCATATGGATCGGAGTGATACTGGAACTGCTGCCGCTGATGTATTTCCTGGAGGCTACAACGTCTGCCGATAATTACAAGTGTCTTGATTATGCAAGCTCTGGAGATCCTGTGAAAAACCTCATCTATAGCATGTTTCTGACTGTCTTTGGATTCCTTATCCCTCTCTTGATCATGTGCTGCTTCTATGTGAAGATGGTTCTTTTTCTTAAAAACAGGAGTGAGCAACTCAGTTCCTTCCTGACACTTGAAAAACCTCTCACTTTAGTCATCCTCACAGTGGTTATCTTCTCATTGCTCTTTACTCCCTATCATGTAATGCGCAATGTCCGACTTGCTTCCCGAATACCAGCCTTGAATGTCTCTGTGTGCACGCAGGGCGTCATCAATGCCATTTATGTCATCACAAGACCTATTGCATTTTTAAATAGTGCCATTAATCCTGTTTTTTATTTCTTAATGGGGGACCACTTCAGAGAGATGTTGATGGCAAAAATAAGGCAGCTCTTGAGCAGATTGACAGCCACTGGCAAATGAATGAGTAAGGAGACCTCTTGTAGTGGGAGACAGTGGAGAGGAAACTCTCTTAGGGGCAGAATTCACCAGTGTACAGTGCCTTTTCATATTTTTTTTTTTTTAGATAACTTTATGCTATAGAACATTTGTGAGCTGAGTGTGTTTCTCTGAATGCACTTGTTATTGTACAGGGGACCTCCTTTTGCTAATCTGATTCTAGCAAATGAGAAGTGATGCTTACATCAGTACAGCAGGAAACCATGCTTTCATAGCAGGATACCTTGTGGCCTGTTTACACTGTAAATAAAAGATCATCAAGGTTGCTCTTAGACAGAAAATAATGTTTGCAAACTCTGCATCTCCTGGGAGGTTTACCTTTCAGAATAACTAACTGGGACAATTTACATTCCCAGCTGATTTGGCAAGGGTTGGCATCTCGGATGTGGCCAAAAAGGAGGGCATGCAAAGGGATGGGTGGAACACTCTGTCAGTATTTCAGAATGGGGTCAGTGAGTAGGTTGCTATTTTTGTTTGTAACAAGTACAAGGAGTGCAGAAAGCTGTAATGTTCAGCTGCTGGTCCTACAACCATTTCATGGAAGCTCTGAGACAGCATAGACGTGTGTGTAGACAGGTTCTTTCACACTTTGATATTAAAGCTAGATTCAGCTTGCAGAAATGAAAATAAGAAAATCTATCAGTTTAGTTCTTAATTGAGATTTGATTAATATATCACTGGGACAACAGTAATTTTGGCAGTCACTTTTCAAAGTATAAACTTATTTAACTTTAGTGTAATTATCTCCAAGTGTGAGCAGAACGTATAGCTTGCAGCAGACTTTGGACCTTGCAGTTCTAACCTTATTAAGGGTTCCAATAATGAAAAGGGGCTCATAAGGAGCCAGTTCTCTGTCTAACATCCCTGCATGATTGACTGACCTGACTTCAACTATGAAGCATGCAGAGATGGGTGAAGTAATCAGCTTGTACAAGCTTGGGCTGGGGAAGGACCTCCTGAGAGTGGACACTGGGCTGGGCAGAGTATGGGCAGCAGTGCAGGCAGGGCAGGGGCACCCCCTCCTCCCCCTGCCTTTCAGCAGGCACTGGAGGAGCCCCTGGTGAAGCACAAGGCAAGCCCTGCTCCGTTTAGCATGGAGAAAGGACCACTCATCATGTCTCATCAGAGACAACTTTAGTTCTGCTTTCTGATGTGTCGTTAGCCTGCAACACGCTTTACTGTGTCAGTGACACCTCCCTGCCTGACCAAAACCTGTGCATCTTGTCTAAAAAAAAAAAACAAAAAGCCTCCTTTGTATTGAGTGGTTTGTTTTATCTGCTGTTCTCTAATGTCCATTGAATTGAAGCCTTTTTCCTCTTAACAGTAAGACCCTGGAAAATCTGATCAAAAGTACTTACTTGGCTCTAGTTGAGGGGTAAAGTAGCTGCTTCCCTCTGAAAGTATTTAGCAGCGATACCTATGTCAGTGTTGATCTGGGGTTCCATAGTTCCATAATGGGTGCTGGTTGCTATGCCCAGGCACCCATGGGGGTTCCATGGGGATTCGCCTGAGCTCAGGGTAATGCTGCTGCTGATCCTGGTAATACAGCGGGAAGAATTTTGCTGTTGCATCACAAGAGTGTTTCCAGCACAATTCCCTGAGAAGTTTGCCATGGCTGCCTGCTAAAGCCACCACTTCATGGCTGCTGGCAGCAGTTCCTGCACTGGAACAGCAAGGATGAGGGGCTGGAAACAGCAGCCACCCTGCACCAGTGGGGAGAGGACATCAGGGAGTGACAACCAGAGTTTTGACCAGAAAGAAATGTGTGTAAATCCTGATGTTCTCCCCTCTGTTTGCTTTGTAACAAATCTTTACGCATAAATCACTAAATTACTCTCTGTCAATGGTGGAAAAAAGATCTATCATGTTATGGCAGCGTGGTGTGGGGCAGATAAGGCTGCAACTGGCATTATAAATACCTCCTGGTTTTGTAAGGACCTTTGTATGTAACAACAAGAGGCAATTATTCAGCTGAGTGTGACATTGCACATGTTCATCCCAATACAGAGGAAGCCAAGGGCAGAATTTCCAAAAGCAAGTTGAATATTCCCATTTTAAAGTTGGTGTCTAATGCACTAAAGAGGAATTTTGCTTCACAGAAAGTACCATACAACAATAAATATTAAGCTGAAACACCTTCAGCAGACTCCTCTTCACCTTTTGCAGTGGACAGAACAGGACTTTTCAAAGAAATTTTTAGTTTCTAAAACTAAAGTAATTTGGGGCTTTCCTGTATCATATCAGTGGCTTCTTCTTCTTGTGAATGGCCTTATATGGTGCATAAAGGGAGTTTTTGTTTTTGTTAAATATGTTCACAGTCCCATAGAAGTGGAAAGGCCATGTACACTCCACCAGGCCATATTGTCTTACTTTTTTTTTGCCATGTTAGAGATTTGCAGTTTTCAGCTCCTGCATCTGACTATTTGCTTTGACTGTTGCCAGCCACCTTGGGCTTGAGAGAGAATGTGAAAGAGAAATTTTACATTTTTAACACAAATGTACTTTGTGTTTAGCCTGATTTGTTATGTGTTTCATGTAGGAATCTGCCAAATGAAATGCAATGCCTATGGTTCCATGACACATCTGATTGCACTTTCTGGTCACCTAGCAGAGTTAATAGTCAGATTGGGGTAATAAAGTCGTGAATACTGATAATGCTGCAATACCCCAGTTGATTCAATTTGCAATCCACACAGTGTTGCTGGGTTTATGTAAGTGGCTCCTTGGCAAGAAGCTCACCATGGTTCCTGGTACCCCAGGCCCATCAGAGGCAATGGCCATTGTAGGTGGTTTGCCCCATGCATTTTCTTCTCAGTGGCTGTGTTTTGCTTCTGGTGAATGCCATTATCTTCATAAGGTATGGAAATACCTTTCTTTATCTTTTGATGTCACAGGGCAGTTTCCTGGTACTAACCATCACTTTTTTCCTTCACATGACAGTGAGATGGCAGCAAAGTTGTGCAAGCAGTGGCTCAGCCTCCACATCTTGGCTGTGAATGGGGAAGTGGGGAGAAGGCACTGCCAGGTTCTTGTTCAGGCCCGTGCCGAAGGCAGGGCCGGAAGGAAGGAGAAGGCAGAAGATAAATAAATCTCCACCTGCTGGCCACTTCCATGAAATAGCTTGTGCAATACTCTGCTCGTGTAGCGCTGGCGGCACAGCTGTTCCCAGCAGCTCTGTGTCTGGAAGGGCAGATGAAGACAGGCAGCTTCCATGGGAGCCCCTGCATTGAAAGAATCTACCTAATTAGGCCTGTATGAATCGAATGGTAAGCCACAGTCTACTTTTAATGACATTAGAAAACACATCTCTGCCCCTTCAGAGAGTATGTGGGATGGCAAGGATTGCTGTGGGAGCACAGCTGACCCTGCTTGATGCTGGCTCCAGCTTATTCCAGCCTGTGGGTGGGCACAGGATGCTCTGAGGCAGGCGTGGCCACCACAGCTGAGCAGCTGAGGGACCAGGACATGGTCCTATTGCAATGTTACCAAAGCAAGGTCTGGTTTTCCCGTCAGCACACATCACCAGCAACTCTATTAATGCCACGGAAGTGATGCTGGGCTCTTTGTATAAATCAGGAAGAAACTTATGGTTTTGCTTTTCATTTTCTTAGCACAGAAAACAGTCATGCAGAAGCTCAGGTTCCTTTGATACATGGAAAGTCTGGGTTAAGATGTTCTCCTCAAGGCAGGGTTTGCTGAAAGAGGAGACCCAATAACACCCAGGATAGCTGCCCTGGTCCTGTTGGAGTCTGTCTGGGGTCCAGCTCTGCCCCACCAGACACTTCTGTACAGCATGTGGCATTCCATGTCCCAGTGATCAGTGGCCAGGAGGTGACTTTTCTTCATAAACAATCTGTAGTGATAGTTCTTATGGATTAATATGTTCAATTATTTGTTTTGCAGTGTCCATTGAGGTATGCAGGGTCATTTGCTGCTTAAGTGCATTGAGTCACTAAGGATACCTCCCTGTGTACACACCAGTGTCACATTTACCAACATGGCTATTCTTCATTGGCTTGGTACCAAGCAAGTAATTATATCGCATCACCTACCTGGACTTGCGCAAAGTATCTGATATTGTCCCTCATTACATCCTTGCCTCTAAACTGGTGGTGTGGTTTAAACCCAGCCAGACAGCTTGTTCACTCACTCCCAGTGAGTGGTGCTGGGCTGGAAGCAATTGAGGCCCCCCCCAGGGGCTCTCCCTTTCCCCGCTCCCAGGGGGATGGGGAGGAGAATCAAAAAAGTGCAACTCCCACGGGTTGAGACAAGAACAGTCCAGCAACCAATGTACAACACAAATCACCACCGCTACCACCAACAACAACAATGATAAGAGAAAATAACAAGGGAAGAGAATACAATACCACCCGCCGAAAAATGAGTCCGACCCAGCAGACCCCGTGTCCTTCCGGGTAACTCCCAGTTACTTTCCCGGGCATGACGTGCTGTGGTATGGAATACCTCTTTGGCTAGCTTGGGTCAGGTGTCCTGTCTCTGCTTCCTCCTGGCTTCCCCTCCTCCCTGGCAGAGCATGAGCCTCACAAAGTCCTTGGTCAGAGTAAACATTACTTAGCAACAACTGAAAACATCGGTGTTATCAGCACTGTTCCCAGGCCGAAAGTCAAAGCACAGTGCTGAACCAGCTACCAAGACGGAGGGACATTGACTGCTACTGCTAAACCCAGGACAACTGGATAGGAATGGATTGGACAGATGAACCACTGGATGGATAAGTAATTGGCTGGATGGTTGCGCTTAAAGAGTTGCAGTCAACAGCTTATTCCAAGTGGAGACCAGCAATGAGTGGCATTCCTCAGGGGCCAGTATTGGGACTGGTAGTGTTTAACATTTTTGCTAGGCACATGGACAGTGGAATGGAGTGCACCCTCAGTAAGTCTGCTGACAATACCAAGCTGTGTGGTGTGGTTGACATGCTGGATGGAAGGGATGGGATCCAGAGGGACCTGACAGGCTTGAGACGTGGCCAGTGCCAACCTCATGAAGTACAACAAGGCCAAGAGCAAGGTCCTGCAGCTGGGCTGGGGCAGTCCCAAGCACAACTACAGGCTGGGCAGAGACTGGATTAAGAGCAGCCCTGAGGAGAAGGACTTGACGGCATTGATTTACAAGAAGTTCAACATGAGCCAGCTTCAGTGTGCGCTTGAAGCCCAGAAAGCCAGCTGTAGTGCGGGCTGCACCAAAAAAAGTGACCAGCAGGTTGAAGGAGGTGATCTTGCCCCTGTACTCCACTCTCATGAGACCTCCACCTGCAGTGCAGCATTCAGCTCTGGGTCTCCAACATAAGGACATTGACATGTTGGAGTGAGTCCAGAGGAGGCCACAAAGATGATCTAGAGAGCTGGAGCACCTCTCCTATGGAGACAGGATGAGAGAGCTGGGCTTGTTCAGCCTGGAGAAGAGAAGGTTCCAGGGAGGCCTTAGAGCAGTACCTAAAGGGGCCAAAAAGACAACTGGAAAAGTGACTTTTTACAAAGGCCTGTAGTGGCAGGGCAAAGGGGAATGGCTTCAAACTGCTAGAAGGGAGATTCAGATTAGATACTAAGAAGTTCTTTCCTGTGAGGGCGGTCAGGCACTGGAATGCATTGCCCAGAGAAGCTGTGTCTGCCCCATCCCTGGAGTTATTTAAGGCCAGACTGGACGGGGCTTTGAGCAACCTGGTCTAGTGGAACATGTGTGTATCCCATGTATTCCATGGTAAGGGATTGGAACTGGATGATCTTTAAAGTCCCTTCCAACACAACCCATTCTATGATTCTATCTTTAAATATATGCTGTTTCTGTTAATACATACTACATATCCATTATATAAAGGTGCATAGTTATAAACTAATGTCTGTACATCTGAGAATGCTAATGTAATGCTAATGTAATGCAATGAAATGCAAGTAACTAATGCAAATGCTACTTAATAGAACTCCCATACGTTATATCAACTGTTTTTTTATAATAGTGATGCTATTATTTCTCTGGTATGTATACCGATAATATCATGGCACGTAACATTTTATAAGACAGAGGATAGCTAATTAGAAAATTGATTATTAATTCATTTA